CTCATGAACATTGATGCAAAAATACTCAATAAAATATTGACAAACCAAATCCAAGAACACATCAGAAAAATTATCCACCATGATCTAGAAGGCTTTATCCCAGTGATGCAGGGATGGTTCAACATATGAAAATTTGTAAATGTAATCCACTATATAAACAAACTGAAAGAAAAAAAACCATAATGATCATCTCATTAGATGCTGAAAAAGCCTTCAACAAAATCCCACATCCCTTCATGATAAAGGTCTTGGAGAGATCAGGGATACAAGGAACATACCTAAGCATAATAAAGACAATATACAACAAGCCAACAGACAACATCAAACTAAATGGAGAGAAACTTAGTGATTCCACTAAGAACAGCAACAAGACAAGGCACTCCACTCTCTGGATATCTATTCAATATAGTACCCAAAGTTCTAGTAAGAGCAATAAGACAACAAAAGGAGATCAAGGGATACAAATTGGAAAGGAAGAAGTCAAACTTTCACTATTTGCAGGTGTTATGATCGTATATATAAGTGACCCCAAAAATTCTACTAGGGAACTACTACAGCTGATAAACACCATCAGTAATGTAGCGGTATACAAGATTAAGAAAAAAAAAAAAAGCAGTAGCCCCCCTATATACAAATGAGAAATGGGCTGAGAAAGAAATCAAAGAAACAACCCCCTTTACAATAGCCACAAATAACATAAAATATCTTGGGGTAATTCTAACCAAACAAGTGAAAGAACTGTTTGACAAGAACTTTAAGTCTTTGAAGAAAGAAACTGAAGAAGATATCAGAAATGGAAAGATCTCCCATGCTCTTAAACAGATAGGATCAACAAAATAAAAAAGGCAATCTTACCAAAAGCCGTCCACAGATTCAGTGCAATCCCCATGAAAATCCCAACACAATCCTTCACAGGCCTCAAAAGAACACATCAAAATTCCAACACAATCCTTCACAGGCCTCAAAAGAACAATACTCAATTTTATATAAAAACACGAAATCCCACAGTAGACAAAACAACCCTGTACAATTAAGGAACTTCCAGAGGCATCACCAACCCTAACTTCAAGCTCTACTATAGAGCTATAGTAATAAAAATGGCTTGGTATTGGCATAAAAACAGATATGTGAATCAATGGAATCAAACTGAAGATCCTGACATTAATCCACACACCTATGAACACCTGAATTTTGACAAAGAAGCCAAAATTGTACAATGGAAAAAAAGAAAGCATCTTCAATAAATGGTGCTGGCATAACTGGATGTTGACATGTAGAAGAATGCAAATAGATCTCTATCTGTCACCCTGCACAAAACTCAAGTCCAAGTGGATCAAAGACCTTCACACTACACTAAACCTGATACACTACACTAAACCTGATAGAAGAGAAAGTAGGAAGTAGCCTTAAATAGATTGGCACGGGAGACCACTTTCTAAATATAACACCAGTAGTATGGACACTGAGAACAACAAGTAATAAATGGGACCTCCGGAAACTGAGAAGCTTCTGTAAAGCAAAGGACACAGGCAATAAAACAAAAGTCAGCCTACTGAATGGGAAAAGATCTTCACCAACCCCACATCTGACAGAGGGCTGATCTTCAAAATATATAAAGAACTCAAGAAACTAGACATCAAAATACTTAAATGTTCCAATTAAAAAATGGGGTACAGATCTAAACAGAGAATTCTTAACAGCAGAATCTCAAATGGCTGAGAGACCTTTCAGGAATCACTTAACATCCTTAGCCATCAGGGAAATGCAAATCAAAACTCCGAGATACCATCTTACATCTGTCAGAATGGCTAAGATCAAAAACACTGGTGATAGCTTATGTTGGGGAGGATGTGGAGCAAGAACACTCCTCCACTGTTTGTGGGAGTGCAAACTTGTACAGCCACTTTGGAAATCGGTATGGCAGTTTCTCAGAAAATTGGGAATCAATCTACCTCAAGACCTAGCAATACCATTTTTGGGCATATACCCAAAGGTTATATCACAAGTATACTTGCTCAACTATGTTCATAGAGGCATTAAACAACCTAGATGCCCTTCAGTGAAAGAAGCGATAGAGAGAATATGGTACATTTCCACAATGGAATATTACTCAGCTATAAAAAACAATGACATTGGGCTGGAAAGATGGCCCAGAGGTTAAGAGCACTGACTGCTCTTCCAGAGGTCCTGAGTTCAATTCCCAGCAACCACATGGTGGCTCACAACCATCTGTAATGAGATCTGGTGCCCTCCTCTGTATACATAATAAATAAATAAATCTTTAAAAAACAAAAACAAAAACAAAAAACAATGACATCAAGAAAACTGCAGGCAAATGGATGGAACTAGAAAAAAAAAAAAAAAAAAAAAACATCCTAAGTGAGGTAAGCCAGACCCAGAAAGACAAACTTGATATGTACTCATTCATAAGTGGATATTAGACATAAAGCAAATGATAACCAGGCTACAAACCACAACCCCAGAGAAGCTAGATAACAAGGAGGACCCTAAGAGGGATATGCATGGATCACCATAGGAAAGCAAGGAAGGAGATTATCTTGATAGAGGAAGCCATTATGGGGTTAGGAAGAAACCTGGTGCCACAGAAATTCCCAGGAACCCACAAGGATGACACCAGCTAAGACTCTGAGCAATAGTGGAGAGGGTACATGAACTGGCCTTCTCCTGTAATCAGATTGATGACTTCCCTAATTGTCATCATAGAACCTTCATCAAATAACTGATGCAAGCACATACAGGGATCCACAGCTAAGCACTGGGCCTTGCTCCTGGAGTCCGGTAGAAGAGAGGGAGGAGAGATTATGGGGGGGGGGTGAGGGGGCAGTGTCAAGATCATGATGGGGAAACCCACAGAGATAGTTGACTCAGTGGGAGTTCACTGACTGTGGACTGACAGATGGGGAACATACATGGGACTGAATTAGGCCCTCTGAATGTGGGCAACAGTTATGTGGCTTAGGCACTTGGTAGGGCCACTGGCAGTGGGACCAGGATTTATCCCTAGTGCATAAACCGGCTTTTTGGAGTCTATTCCAATGGAGGGATACATTGCTCAACCTTGACACAGTGGGGAAGGGCTTGGTCCTGCCTCAGCTTAAAATGCCAGACCTTGCTGACTCCCCATGGGAGGTCTTACCCTCTCTGAGGAGTGGATGGGAGTGGGGAGGTGGGGGGGGGGGCAAGAAGAGGAGAGGGAGTGGGGACTTTGGTTGGTATGTAAAATGAAGAAAAAAATAAAGATACATCTCTTCCCAGTAACGTAATATTCCACATTCAGTTCTAGGCAGGTTATCTAAACTAAAAATTAATATAAAAAAAAAAAACCCTTGAGAGTTAAACTATAACATAGATAAAATGGATTCATGTTACTCAATAGATAAAAGAATCCATTCTTCTTTTTGTTGTTTGTTTATCTGTTTGGAGACAGGGTCTGACTACTGACTATGTAGTACTGACTTACCTGGAACTGACTGCCTTTGAATGTGTGATGACCAAGTATAGTGGGTAGCTGTTCCAGCTTTGACCTGGAAATACTACCACCAGTGAGGCTTCCTGTCATGACTCAGGGGCAGGTAGTAGGTAGGCATTGTCTCAATCCCCGGGACAAATGGCTGAGGTGCCTATTTAACATACCAAAACAAACCTTGCAGCCAGGCTCTCAGCGTCCCTCAGTCCCTCATGGCTTGCATACCCAATCTCTATCCTGAACTCTCCCGCCCAGGGGCTGGGCTGCACTTTCCTATATGATCCAACCATTATGGCTCCCTGCCCTTTTGTACTTTTTGCCTTCTGGCTGCTGCAATGGTTCCCCTCTCCTCACATGACACATGGTCACAACCACTCCGGACTCTCCCAGATGTCTCTAACTCTGGCTATGCTCTCCCTTTTATCTACAATAAACTTTCTCCTCCACCATAGGGGCAGTCATGCCCCTTCCTTTTTAGCTCTTTTTTTTTTTTTTTTTTTTTTTTTTTTTTTTTTTTTTCATTCAGGCAGCAGTCAACAAAGAGATACATAAAAGGTCAAAAACGCTGACAATAAGAGGCCAAATGCTCAGTCCTGAATCGGGCAACTGTACCTAACCCCAGCCTCTTCCACCACTGTTCAAGGAACATCTCAGAAAAGGAGGCAGAAGAAATGTAAGAGCCAGAATACCGGGAAATGTTGTCTTCTGGACGTGGCAGAGCAATTGTACTGATGAGCTCACAGCAGCTGTGGTTACCTGCACAAGATCTGGCATAGATCGGGAGGTACTGGACAGGCCCACCACTTACTGAGTAGTTATTGGCAAATAACAGTTTTCTGGAGAACCATTCTATTTAGAGGAAAAAGCCACTCATAGGACTCCCTTTTTAAACGCCCAAGAACATACTGGCAGCACTAATTGCTGGATTTTTAAATAATAATAATAATAATAATAATAATAATAATAATAATAATAAATTTAGAAGAGGCACGTGTTGGGATCCCGTATGAGTTGTTGGAAGGAGGAATAGGGGTGAATATGATCATATTTCATTGCATATATGGATAAAAATTTCAACAATACAGAAAAAAAAAAATTAAAATCCCAGAGGGATCACGGGGTAAGCTAAAGCAGGTCAAATGGGAATGCAAGGACGGGAAAACAGCACTCGTCATCCAGGCGCCCTTCACAGCACAGTCTGGAGTCTGAGCAGCACTAACCCGCCCAGGCTGCAGTGTCTGCAGCAGCTCAAGTTCGCCGCCCCCGACGCATCCCGATAGGACCGGGACAGGAGTGAAACAGTTTCACAGCGACAGGACAGGACCCCAGGCTCCCTGCTGCTTGCTCTGCACACACTTCAGGAGCAGGCGGGGAGACGGCGCGGGAGCCTTCACCTCAGAATCAGTTGCACAGCTCCAGGGCGGCGTCAGGGCGGCGGCTCCACATTCTGCCAGAGCCGCAGCAGAGTCACAACCCCGCCACTAAGGACTCCAGGGGCCCAGGAGGCACTCACCATGTCCTGCTTCTGATGCATCCAGGTGTCCCCCCCAAGGGGCCTAACATCAGCTGGAAGCATAGTCAACAAGGTCAGGGAACCTCTCAACGGCTTCTGGGGACTCAAACATGGCAGTAACGGCTGCACCTTCCGAATATTCCTGCTTCTCATTGGACAGTTAATGCAAAGTCATAACAACGTCCCTGATTGGCGAGTCCCTGATTGGCAAATGATACCGGCGGTGGAAGGGGTGGGGTGGGGGGGCGTTGGGGAAGTTGGGATTGGGGGGTTGTAGGGTGTTGGTGGGGTTGTGGGGTGGAGAAGCATCTTATAACCTGGAAAACACCCCTTCCTTGCAGAGTTACAGCTAAGGGACAGGTTGCAGCAAGGATGAATAAACCTGATCTAACCTGGGGTAACCTTGCATTTAAGGAAAACATGTTCAGGGATTTTAGAGCAGCTTCCCTGGTGTATTTTGTGGGTCACAATGGGTTCTCCTACTTACAGATAGTGCCAAGAGTTTGACTGGGGAAGCAACCAGATTCAGTACCTTAGGAACGAAAGGCATGACGACAGGGTAGGAGACACAGTCTGATCAATCTGGACACAAGATCAGGAAGCCTGGTTTGCAAGCTCAAGGATGATGCATGTGAGCCAACGCTGAACCTTTTGTAAGGCTGATTCACTGATCAGAACATCAGGGATTGGAGAGAGTTTGGTATGTTGCAAGCCCCTTGGGCCCTTCTTAGCCCTCAGAACAACTGACCTAACAACTTCATGACTATTATATAAATCATTTGGAATGTACAATAGAACAGTAGTTTCCTTTGGAATGTACAGAGCACCAGTTTTTTAACCAACCAAAAAGACAAGAACATGATCAGAAAGCATCTGAAGCCTGCTCCAAAGGTTTCCTCTTTTGCTATGTAACTTGTCTACCTAATGTTAACTATGTATTTTTTAAAAAGTGTCTTGATTTTATAATTTCTTTATTCTGTTACTATAAAACAGAATATTCGTGTTAGAATATAAAAAGTGGGATAATCCAAATTCTGTGTTTCTAGGCCATGGTCACTTATATTTAACCTCAGAGTAAATATATCCCATTTGAAGTGAATTTTGCTTTTCTGTTGCCAGGAAGTTGCCCAAGGCTTTCTCACATCATATGTTTCATTCTATTCATTTGTAGGCAAAAAAATTAAAACACACCAAGAAGGATACAATTACTCAATGTGAGGTGTGTGTGTGTGTGTGTGTGTGTGTGTGTGTGTGTGTGTGTGTGTGTGTGCACGGTTACATTGCAGCAATGGTCTACAAAGGATTCAAGAGGTATGAAAGGGAACACTTAAAATTCTTCAAAAAGAGGTTTCTATGCCCAAGATTCAGAAGAAAGCCTACATTCACAAGTACAAACATTCCCAAGAGTCAAGATCACACTAGCTGCTGACAGAGACCACCAGACTGGCCATTCACTCTTGATGAGTCGGAGAAATTGTTCTAACAGTTTAGCTCTGGGAGCTCACTAGGACATCTCTCATTTCCTACTTTATGAAATCTTTCTTTCTACACCTTCGAGGAACAATGTAATCCCCATTCATATTAATGGTTAAACTCCAAAAAGCTACCACATACTTTCAATCAAGATGAAAAGCACAAGGTGGAAACAAAAAAGTCAAAACAGGAGTAATAGAGGGACTGTTAGAGAAAGACATGAGGATGTAGGAGTCTAGGCATGAGAGAGGGAAGAATAAAATAGTGGTTGAGAGGTGACATATGATCAATTCATATGTCACAAGGAAAGCCATTAATATGTTTTAAAATATGGGCAGATAATTTGGCTAATTAGATTTTGAGTGATTTTTTTTTTATTCGTGAGACAAGGTCCTATTGTGTGTGTACCATACCTGGACTGGAACTTGGTATGTGGACCAGACTGTCTTCAAATTTGTGGAAAACTTCTTGTCTCAAATTCTAAGTGATTGGTTTATAGTTATGTGACACCATATCTAGCTTGGAGTACATAGCTCATAAGAAACAAAGGAGAGAACTGTGTCCTGCAAATTGTCCCAAAACTCACACAACCAAGGTGATACACACACACACCACCACCACCACCACCACCACCACCAGCAATCTTAAAATATGCTACTCATAAACAACACCAAGGAAATGACAAAATATCCAAGCCTGAAAGCAGGTTTCCTGAATTACTCCAGAAAATCAAGGAAAAGAAGAAATTATAATCACAATGTTTAAGACTTCTTGTGCATGATTAAGGGAACAAACTTTCAAAAGTGTTTGCCACCTAAATATTGCTGACATACTACTTACAGAAGAAATAAAAAATGTTAGTATCAAGGTCTGTGATATAATGAATGAAACCTCTCAAAGAAATGCATTGTTCTGGGGGGGGTGTACATAATAAAGAAAAGGACAACTAACATTTCAAAGATTTATTAAGACTAAAATATGAATTCGCTGGCACATCCTATCAGAATGAATAATTAGTACTATGTATGATTTGCATGACTATAATAACAGTATTCAGGAAAATGAGAAAGAAAGATGGGAAGCTTGGGCACCCCAAATTGGAGGATCTCAGCTCTGTAATATTGTTAAAATGGTGAAATATTTAGCAATGTCAGACCTTTTATAGTGATTCATTACAAAGAAAAATTCCTTCATGCTGTGGATATCGTTCTATATAAATAAAACACTGATGGCCAGTGACCAGACAGGAAGTATAGGTGGGACAAGGAGAGAGGAGAATTGGGGAAACAGGAAGAAGGAGGGAGAGAGACTGCAGCCACTGCCAGGACAAGCAGCATGTAAAGACGCTGGTAAGCCACCAGCCACATGGCAAGGTATAGATTTATAGAAATGGGTTAATTTAAGATATAAGAACAGTTAGCAAGAAGCCTGCCACGGCCATACAGTTTATAAGTATTATAAGTGTCTGAGTGATTATTTTATATGTGGATTGTGGGACTGCTGGGTTTGGTGGAACCTGGAGAGAAGCCCTCCAGCAACACCTTCATGTACAAAGTATTTTAAAACATTTTATTGAGAAATATTTTCATGCAATATATTTGGGTCATTTTATCAAGTCATCTTTTGGCTTTTAATATAAGATATGTGCCAAGCAAATATTACTTTTATACTTAAGTTGAGATCAATATTCAATAAATTACATTAAGGATATTCAACTATTTCAAATTCTATAATGTCTGATATTTAATTTTGTTCACTGTGGCATAGACAGTATTTTTTCAAAAGCTTAACAACAACAGTATTGCAAAATCTTATGTGATTGTATATTGTCCTTGACCTCCTGATGAATAGTCACTGCTTTTCTGTTCACAAATTCTTAAAGAGCAAAGGTCAACACTATATTTTTCCTTGGAACCATATCTTTCTATGTAGTCACATCAGCCTCAAACACAATAGTTTCCTGGCACTACCTCTGGAGTACTATAACATTCAAGAGTCACTACACTGACCTCCAACAGTTCTCTGGGTTAATCATCAAAGCGCAGTAATGTTCTTCTTAGTTTTTTTTTTTTTTCAGAATTTGGTAATTGGGAGAGATTGTGAATATGGACAAGGTAGTCAGTGTGCAGAAGCCCAGAGATGCTAGAGCACATTGTTAATGAAGACATATCTCCTGCAATAGCAGTATATGAAAGCAGTTTGTATATAAGAGACATCATTGCCCATTCACTCAGATATGCACTTCAATGGTCAACATGAAGGGAAACCAAATGGGTATCAGAAGATGTGGAAAAGGATTTAAACATAAGAAATGTTGGAAAATTTTCACTCATTCTGAGTCTTTCTGTCTTTTTCACCTTACCTAGTAATGCATCCTCTGACAGAACATGTTTGCCTCATCCTCAATGTCTTTGATATGAACTGTTTCTTGGTAAACACTGGTGGCCAAGTTTAACCCTGGGATTTTAGTTTCTTGGATGAAATCACTGTGACTGTCTGGAGTAGAAATATACAAATATATTCTGTAGCATTTATATTGTATAGCCTGTGTTATAGCTCTGAGGGAAAAGGTTTCCTCAATGGAAGTGCTGTAGCTCTAAAGGGGAAGGTATTCTGGCAGTTGGGAGCTAGGAATACTCCAAAGTAACTCCTCACAACAAACCTCACATGAGATTTTTTGGGAGAGGAACAAGAGGGTAGCTGCTTCTGTTCCAGCAAGAAGCAGCAGGGACCTGAAGAGGATATAGGCTTATACAGGGCTTTTTGAGGGAGGAGTTTTTCAGGGTGGAAACTTTCAGGGTAGATATTGGTGTGATTTTAAGTCTTGAGCTTGGGACAAGCCTAGGGATTGGCAGGATTTTGAGCTTAGGGATTGGTGGGTTTTCAAGTTGAGAGACTGGTACATTTTTTTGGACTCAGGGATTGGTTGCAGGCCGACATTCTTATCACACCAGCCAATTCCTAAATAACCACACAGACACTTATATTAATTATAAATGCTCAGTGGATAGCTCAGGCTTCTTACTTACTAGCTCTTACCTTTTAAATTAACCCTCATTTCTTATCTATGCTCTGCTATATGGTGGTACCTTTTTTCAACATGGCAAGTTCATCTTGCTTCTTTCCACATCTCCTTTGACTCTGACACTCCTCCCTTCTTTTTCATGTTCTTTTTTTGTCTGCTAACCTCAACCTGTCCAGCTATTCGACAGTCAGCTTCTTTATTAAACCAATCACTGTGACATATATATAGTAAACAAATATTCCACAACTGGTGGGTTTTTTTTTTTGTTGTTGTTGTTGTTTTTGTTTTTGTTTTTTCCAACCAGGAAGTGAGTTCAGACCTTTCACTCTACAGAACCTAAAAGAAAAAAAAAATGATCCAGAATTCTCCAGGGAAGTTCTCAAGGTGATTAGAATGACAACTTCAATCATTAACAACATGATAAACACATGTGCACTCAGACATATGAGTTCTTTATATACAGGCAGGTAAGTAACTCTGTGGGTTCTATCTCCCTAAGACATACAGCATGGCAGACCCTTGTTAATATACTCTTCTCTTGAATTTTTTTATGTTTCTTTCTTTATTTATTTTTTAAATTACACTCGTGATATCAATCACATTTGTGGTATTCATAGATTACATTTGCAGTATTCATTCAAATATATATATATAAATTTTAAATGTCGAA